TCCTCTCCAGCTTCTGTTCTTTCCTGAGTTTTAATGATCGCCATTCTAACTGACATGAGATGGTATCTTATTGTGGATTTGATTTGCATTTCTGTGATGACCAGTGATGATGAGCTGTTTTTAATGTATTTGTTGGTTGTATAAATGTTTTCTTTTGCAAAGTGTCTGTTCATATCCTTTGCCCACTTTTTGATAGGGTTGTTTTTTTCTTGTAAATTTGTTTAAGTTCCATGTAGATTCTGGATATTAGCCCTTTGTCAGATGGATAGATTGCAAAATTTTTCTCCCATTGTATAGGTTGCCTGTTCAGTCTGATGATAGTTTCTTTTGCTGTGCAGAAGCTCTTTAGTTTAATTAGATCCCATTTCTTAATTTTGGCTTTTGTTGCCATTGCTTTTGGTGTTTTAGTTATGAAGTATTTGCCCATGCCTATGTCCTGAATGGTATTGCATAGATTTTCTTCTAGAGTTTTTATGGTTTTAGGTCTTACGTTTAAATCTTTAATCCATCTTGAGTTAATTTTTCTATAAGGTGTAAGGAAGGGGTCCAGATTCAGTTTTCTACATATGGCTAGCCAGTTTTCCCAACACCATTTATGAAATAGGGAATCTTTTCCCCTTTTCTTGTTTTTGTCAGGTTTGTCAAAGTTGAGATGGTTGTAGATGTGTGGCATAATTTCTGAGGCCTCCGTTCTGTTCCATTGATCTATATATCTGTTTGGGTACCAGTACCATGCTGTTTTGGGTACTCTGGACTTGTAGTATAGTTTGAAATCAGGTAGCGTGATGCCTCTAGCTTTGTTCTTTTTGCTTAGGATTGTCTTGGCTATACCGACTCTTTTTTAGTTCCATATAAAATTTAAAGTAGTTTTTTCTACTTCTGTGAAGAAAGTCAATGGTAGCTTGATGGCGATAGCACTGAATGTATAAATTACCTCGGACAGTATGACCGTCTTCACGATATTAATTCTTCCTATCCATGAGCATGGAATGTTTTTTCATTTTTTTGTGTCTTCTCTTGTTTCCTTGAGCAGTGGTTTGTAGTTCTCCTTGAAGAGTTCCTTCCCATCCCTTGTAAGTTGTATTCCTAGGTATTTTATTGTTCGTAGCAATTGTCAATGGGAGTTTACTAATGATTGGGCTCTCTGTTTTTCTACTATTGGTGTATAGGAATGCTTGTGATTTTTGCACATTGATTTTTGTATCCTGAGACTTTTCTGAAATTGCTTATCAGCTTAAGGAGATTTTGGACTGAGATGATGGGGTTTTCTAAATATACAATCATGTCATCTGCAAACAGAGACAATTGGACTTCCACTCTTCCTATTTGAATACCCTATATTTCTTCCTCTTACCTGACTGCCTTGGCCAGAACTTCCAATACTATGTTGAATAGGAGTGGTGAGAGAGGGCATCCTTGTCTTATGCTGGTTTTCAAAGCAAATGCTTCCAGCTTTTGCCCATTCAGTATGATATTGGCTGTGGGTTTGTCATAAACAACTCTTATTATTCTGAGATATGTTCCATCAATACCTAATTTATTGAGAGGTTTGAGCAGGAAGGGCTGTTGAATTTTGTTGAAGATCTTTTCTGCATCTATTGAGATAATCATGTGGTTTTTGTCATTGGTTCTATTTACTTGATGGATTACGTTTATTGATTTGTGTATGTTGGACCAGCCTTGCATCCCAGGGATGAAGCCAACTTCATCATGGTGGATAAGCTTTTTGATGTGCTCCTGGATTTGGTTTGGCAGTATTTTATTAAGGATTTTCACCATCAATGCTAATCAGGGATATTTGCCTGAAATTTTTTGTTGTTGTTTTGTCTTTGCCAGGTTTTGGTATCAGAATGATGCTGGCCTCATTAAATGAGTTAGGGAGGATTCCCTCTTTTTGTATTGATTGGAATAGTTTCAGAAGGAATGGTACCAGCTCCTTTTTGTACCTCTGGTAGAATTCCACTGTGAATCCATCTGGTCCTGGGCTTTTTTTGGTTGGTAGGCAATTAATTACTGCCCCAATTTCAGAACCTGTTATTGGTCTATTTAGGGATTCGACTTCTTCCTAGTTTAGACTTGGGAGGCTGTATGTGTCCAGGAATTTATCCATTTCTCCTAGAATTTCTAGTTTATTTGTGTAGAGGTGTTTATAGTATTCTCTGGTGGTAGTTTATTTCTGTGGGATCAGCGGTGATCTCCCTTTTATCATTTTTTATTGTGTCTATTGATTCTTCTCTCTTTTCTTCTTTGTTAGTCTGGCTAGTGGTCTATCTATTTTTTTAATCTTTTCAAAAAACCAGCTTCTGGATTCAAACATTTTTTGAAGAGTATTGTGGGTCTCTATCTCCTTCAGTTCTGCTCTGATCTTAGTTATTTCTTGTCTTCTGCTAGCTTTTGAATTTATTTGCTCTTGCTTCTCTAGTTCTTTTAATTGTGTTGTTAGAGTTTTGATTTTAGATCTTTCCTGCTATCTCCTGTGGGCATTTTAGTGCTACAGATTTCCCTCTAAACACTGCTTTAGCTGTGTCCCAAAGATTCTGGTATGTTGTGTCTTTGTTCTCATTGGTTTCAGAGAACTTATTTATTTCTGCCTTAATTTCAATATTTACCCAGTAGTTATTCAGGAGCAAGTTGTTCAGTTTCCATGTAGTTGTGCGGTTATGAGTGAGTTTCTTAATCCTGAGTTCTAATTTGATTGCACTGTGGTCTGAGAGACTGTTTATGATTTTCGTTCTTTTTCATTTTCTGAGGAGTGTTTTACTTCCAATTATGTGGTCGATTTTAGAATAAGTGTGATGTGGGGCCAAGAAGAATGTATATTCTGTTGATTTGGGGTGGATAATTCTGTAGATGTCTATTAGGTCTACTTGATCCAGAGCTACCTGAATATCCTTGCTACTTTTCTGTCTCATTGATCTGTCTAATATTGACAGTGGGGTGTTAAAGTCTCCCACTAATATTGTATGGGAGCCTAAGTCTCTTTCTAGGTCTGTAAAAAGTTGCTTTATGAATCTAGGTGCTCCTGTATTGGGTGCATATATATTTAGGATGGGTAGCTGTTCTTGTTGCATTGATCTCTTTACCATTATGTAATGCCCTTCCTTGTCCTTTTTGATCTTTGTCGGTTTAAAGTCTGTTTTATCAGAGACTAGGATTACAACCCCTGCTTTTTTTTTTCTTTCCATTTGCTTGGTAAATATTCCTCCATCCCTTTATTTTGAGCCAATGAGTGTCTTGCATGTGAGATGGGTCTCCTGAGTACAGCACACTGATGGGTCTTGACTGTTTATCCAATTTGCCAGTGTGTGTCTTTTGACTGGGTCATTTAGCCCATTTACATTTAATGTTAATATTATTATGTGTGATTTTGATCCTGTCATTATGATGCTAGCTGGTTATATTGCCCATTAGTTGATGCAGTTTTTTTATAGTGTCAATTGTCCTTTAAATTTGGTATGTTTTTGCAATGACTGATAACCATTTTTACTTTCCGTATTTAGTGCTTCCTTCAGGAGCTCTTGTAAGGCAGGCCTGGTGGTGACAAAATCTTTCAGCATTTGCTTGTCTGTAAAGGATTTTATTTCTCCTTCGCTTATGAAGCTTAGTTTGGCTGGATATGAAATTCTGGATTGAAAATTCTTTTCTTTAAGAATGTTGAATATTGGCCCCCAGTGTCTTCTGGCTTGTGGGGTTTCTGCAGAGATATCTGCTTTTAGTCTGATGGGCTTCCCTTTGTGGTTAACCAGACCTTTCTCTGGCTGCCCTTCACATTTTTTCCTTCATTTTAACCTTGATGAATCTGACGATTCTGTGTCTTGGTGTTGCTCTTCTCGAGGAGTATCTTTGTGGTGTTCTCTGTGTTTCCTGAATTTGAATGTTGGCCAGTCTTGCTAGGTTGGGGAAGTTCTCCTGGATAATATCCTAAAGAGCGTTTTTGGTACATACTTTTAAATAACCAGATCTCGTGAGAAATCACTCACTATTGGGAGGACAGTGCCAAGCCATTCTTGAGGGATCCACGCCCATGATCCAAACACCTCCCACCATGCTTTACCTTCAACACTGGGGATTATAGTTGACCATGCTATATGGAGGGGACAAACATACAAACTATATCAAAGGCATAGCATGGGTTCTGTGAAAGGAGGGTGAAAACACAAAGATGACATTGCCACTGACCTCAGGGAGTGCTCAGTAGACTGAGGGAGACAAGTACATATTTTCCTGAAGGTGGGCACTGGAGTGATGGCGTGTTTAGAATGTGAAAGTAGAGCAGGCACAGAGAGGCAGCCCAGCAGAGTGCTTGCTCAGGGACTGGGCCAGCAACTCCCCACTGCATGTGATGTATCTGAGGAAAGTCATTAAAATAGGCGATGGTCACTTTGCATCAACTCCCTGGTGTGGTCCATGGAGGCAGGATTGTCAATCTGATTTCGGCATTTCAGAGGCCTCTTAGGGTTTGGATACGGAAGAAGACAACCAGCAATGATTATGTATTTCAGAGATGTGCATGAGCCCCAATTTCTTGCCAGTTGGGAAGTCAGTGTTGAGGACCTTACTGTCTTAAGGAAATCCTTGACACATAGGATGCCAATTTCTTTCTGGACAGAGAGTATTTGGTTGGTTAAAGTTAAAATCTGAATTTTGTTGTGGGATAAATTCCAAAAATATTAGCTTTATTCAAATTTACTTTCACTTTATCTTTCTGAATTTTCAAGGTCCAAAAACATTGCTTAGTAATTCTGTTTCTAAACTCACATTGCAGCACTGGGCATGATCTGTCCAAGGCAGAGACCATAAGATAGTCTTGTCTGGAAAACATACAAGTAGGTATCTCAACAAATGATACGCATATATTCTTGTTCTTAGGAGTAAATCATTGGCAGTGAGTATGAATTTTTTTTTTTTTTTTTTTATGAAAGGATAAATACACACCCTCTATTGAGGTCAGGTTTTGTGCCTGTACTTCTTCCGCCTACTGTATCATAGGAGATTAGAAACCCAGCTGCTGGCTCGGGCTGCAGTTCTCTGATGGCTTGCACACGGTGGACCAGCCCTGTTCTCCTATGTGTTTCTCTGCTGCTGACCTGTGGATTTGCTGAGGCAGGGAAGCTGCTAGTAGTACCCATGGATGGGAGCCACTGGTTCACTATGCAGTCGGTGGTGGAGAAACTTATCCTCAGGGGGCATGAGGTGGTGGTAGTCATGCCAGAGGTGAGTTGGCAACTGGGAAGATCACTGAATTGCACAGTGAAGACTTATTCAACCTCATACACTCTGGAGGATCTGGACCGGGAGTTCATGACTTTCGCCCATGCTCAATGGAAAGCACAATTACGAAGTTTCTTTTCTCTATTTCTGAGTTCATCCAATGGTTTTTTTGATTTATTTTTTTCGCATTGCAGGAGTTTGTTTAATGACCAAAAATTAGTAGAATACTTAAAGGAGAGTTCTTTTGATGCGGTGTTTCTGGATCCTTTTGATGCCTGTGGCTTAATTGTTGCCAAATATTTCTCCCTCCCCTCTGTGGTCTTTGCCAGGGGAATAGCTTGCCACTATCTTGAAGAAGGTGCACAGTGCCCTGCTCCTCTTTCCTATGTCCCCAGAATTCTCTTAGGGTTCTCAGATGCCATGACTTTCAAGGAGAGAGTATGGAACCATGTCATGCACTTGGAGGAACATTTATTTTGCAAGTATTTTTTCAAAAGTGCCCTAGAAATAGCCTCTGAAATTCTCCAAACACCTGTCACGGAATATGATCTCTACAGCCACACATCAATTTGGTTGTTGCGAACGGACTTTGTTTTGGACTATCCCAAACCCGTGATGCCCAACATGGTCTTCATTGGTGGTATCAACTGCCATCAGGGAAAGCCATTGCCTAAGGTAAGTCATACTCTTAGCAGTTTTGCATACATTCTTTTCATTAAAAAAGCGTTTTAGTTGTGTATATATAATTTAAAAATTATAGGTCCTATTCAGCCTACATTTTTGAGTACCATGTTTAGAAAAGCACCAAAAACAACAGTAAGAAATATAACTTCCCTTTATTGCTAATTTTTGTGACCCCTAGAGGAAATGCTCTTAGCAGTTTTGTGTACATTCTTTTCATTAAAAAAAAAGCATTTTAGTTATACGCAATATCTAATGTAAATTCTGATACCTATTTTGTTAAAATAAAATCTTGTATTAGGTTAGACATATATTTCTTTACCTTGCATTTTTCATTTGCCAGTAAATAATAGATTCCTTTATAGACAAATACAAACAGATTTGACAAGTTCGTTTAATAGTCTTTACTTTGGATGCTATGTAGTTTTTTTAACCAATTAGTATTGATATATCTTTAGGCATTTTCCATTTTTTGCTTTTATGAATAAGGCCATGTAAACACTCTTTAATAATTTCCTTATGTGAATATATTTCTATATTCTTGCTTTTATCTTAATAGACTAGAGTCTTACACGTAGGGTTATAGGGTTTTCCTGAATTGAGAAGGATTGGCATCTTTTTACTATTAAGTCATCCTGTTCAGGAATATGTAAGTCTCACTATTTATTCAGATCTTGTTTTATATACATAAATAAAATTTTTCACTATATGCGCATTTTATGTTTGTTATTAATATTTATTCCTTGGCATTTTTTTATTTTTGAAACTATTTTTTTACAGGGCAAATTTTCCATTTCTACATTTAACTGACTATTGGGGTTTTTGCACATGTGTCTTGTATCCAGCCACATTACTAACTTTTTTTTTTTTTTTTTTTTTTTTTTTGAGACGGAGTCTCGCTCTGTCGCCCAGGCTGGAGTGCAGTGGCCGGATCTCTGCTCACTGCAAGCTCCGCCTCCCGGGTTCACGCCATTCTCCTGCCTCAGCCTCCCGAGTAGCTGGGACTACAGGCGCCCGCCACCTCGCCCGGCTAGTTTTTTGTATTTTTTTAGTAGAGACGGGGTTTCACCGGGTTAGCCAGGATGGTCTCGATCTCCTGACCTCGTGATCGCGATCCGCCCGTCTCGGCCTCCCAAAGTGCTGGGATTACAGGCTTGAGCCACCGTACTAACTTTTTAAATTATTTTTTAGTATGCATTAGATGTACAATATACCCTACCATCTGCAAGTAATTCCCTTCTCTGATATTTATACTGCTTCTTTTGCTTTGCTGGAGCATATACTTCCAAAACGTTACTGAGTAATGTTGTTAGAGTAGCCAGTTTCAATAGGAATTCGGTCACTTTTGACTGAAAAATCCTTGAAAAATACCAGAATAAGATTCTGGCAAATGCACAGTTGCTAAATCCAGATGAATCACTTGGTGTCTCATCTCATTATATTATTTTATTAGGGATGGAGTATACATTTTTGTCTATTGCTGTGACTGCTTACAAGGTTCAGTAGACTTTGTAACACAGTCATATCTCTCATTGGCAGATATTTGGTAAAAGAGTGACCTTTCAGCCTACTCATGGGAAAGTGAAATAATGCTCTTTCTAAAAAGCAGGAAGACTACAGTTGTAGGCCTTTCAAAATTAGGCATGACTTTCAGTTCTTGGCCAGACCGGGCTAGGAGATGCAAGTTGAAGGACTCTTAAGAGGTTGGACTTATCAAAGCACTTTTCTCCTCTTCATCCCCCATTAATTACAGTACCAAGCACCATCCATGTGTTGCCTACACACCACATCTTTGGCTGAGGGTGAGGCTCTGCCACTTCCTGAACCCACACTGAGTTCATTATGGCTCACAGGGTCACCCAGAGGCCTTTAGAGATATAAAACCCTATATATGATTTTATATCACCTGTGATAGGGAGATATACATAAAAAATGAAACATTAAACTCTATATGGTTTCATTTATTTTGATTATAAATCTTTTATGAGATAAGAAATAAATGTGTTTATATATCTATTAAAGAATATACATGTATGAAAGTTTTTATAGTTGCAGAGGGTTATGTATATTAACGTATATATTTATGATTATATCCATAAATCCAGCAGATTTCTCACAGAGGAATTCAGATCTGAAAGAGGGCTTTCTGTCAAGAGCCTTGGATGTGGCCCAACCACAAAAGTAAAAGTCAACTGTCATTGAAAGAAGGATGGACACTGCATATTGTTCCTTCCTTGTTTCAGAGGCCAGGATGTGTCTGGGAAAAGCATGCAGTTGGTTACATCTTGTTGGGAAACAGGATTCAGAGTCTGAGTCTCATCTGTCTGATGAGAAGGGAGCATTACTTAATGATAGAGTACGTGTTTGCACATGTACGTGTTTGTGTATATGCAGGTGTGTTTGTGTGCGGTGTCCCAGACCCTGCACAGGGGATTTTCTTGAAGGTCTCCTGTAACAAAATCTCCTTGAGCCTATCCGGGAGAATTACATCCAGGAATGTAATTAAATACTTTAACAAGGATGGCAGATGACCCCATCTCCAACGTCAGGGATCAAATTTCAACGTGAGATTTGGAGGGGACAAACTTTTAAACTATATAATTTGGTGTCGTTGTTCTTTTACATTTTAGCGTTCTAATGTGTGTGTTGATTAATGATGTGTAAACAATTCAGCAGAACATTGAAATAGTTTTAATGAGAAAAAGAGGAAGTCACTCCTAGTCTCTTTGAATTTTTGGTTAGTTCCAACAGAATTGATGACTGGTTTTAGGTGAAAAGAATTCAGGCTCCGTCTATACCATCCATGGTAGGTTCAGCTCTGCAGACCTGGGGATGGGATATGGTTACAGAGCAAGAAAAGATCTGTGCTTCCCCCATTGCTCTAAGTTTCTGGCTCCAGTTCAAGATCCAAATTCAAAGTTAGCTTTTGGTGGACAAGAGTAAGGCCTCCCACTAAAATTGTTTACTTCAAGTTTTTATTTTCAAAGTGTTCCAACACACACAAAGGAGAGACTTAGTGTCATGACCACCCGTATATCAATCTTAGGTTAAATAATTTTCACTATTTTGCTGAACTGATTCATCTATCCCTTTTTCCTGTCTTTAAAGAAAACATTTTTAAAAGAGAAATTTGTGTCAGTCTTTTATATTATACTTTAAGTTCTAGGGTACATGTGCACAATGTGCAGGTTTGTTACATAGGTATACATGTGCCATGTTGGTTTGCTGCACCCATCAACTCATCATTTCCATTAGATATTTCTCCTAATGCTATCCCTTCCCCAGCCCCCCACCCCCTGACAGGCCCTGGTGTGGGATGTTCCCTGTGTCCATGTGTTCTCATTGTTCAATTCCTACTTATGAGTGAGAATATACGCTGTTTGGTTTTCTGTCCTTGTGATAGTTTGCTGAGAATGATAGTTTCCAGCTTCATTCATGTCCCTGCAAAGGACATGAACTCATCCTTTTTTATGGTTGCATGGTATTCCATGGTGTGTATGTGCCACATCTTCTTTATCCAGTCTATCATTGATAGACATTTGGGTTGGTTCCAAGTCTTTGCTATTGTCAATAATGCTGCAATAAACATATGTGTGCATGTGTCTTTATAGTACCATGATGTATAATCCTTTGGGTATATACCCAGTAATGGGATCGCTGGGTCAAATGGTATTTCTAGTTCTAGATCCTTGAGGAATTGCCACACTGTCTTCCACAATGGTTGAACTAATTTACACTCCCACCAACGGAGTAAAAGCGTTCCTATTTCTCCACATCCCCTCCAGCATCTGTTGTTTCCTGACTTTTTAATGATCGCCATTCTAACTGGCATGAGATAGTATCTCATTGTGGTTTTGATTTGCATTTCTGTGATGACCAGTGATGATGAGTATTTTTTTCATATGTCTGTTTGCTGCATAAATGTCTTCTTTTGAGAAGTGTCTGTTCATATCCTTTGCCCACTTTTGAATGGGTTGTTTTTTTTCTTGTAAATTTGTTTGACTTCTTTGTAGATTCTGGATATTAGCCCTTTGCCAGGTGGATTGATTGCAAAAATGTTCTCCCATTGTGTAGGCTGCCTGTTCAGTCTGATGATAGTTTCTTTTGCTGTGCAGAAGCTCTTTGGTTTAATTAGATCACATTTGTCAATTTTGGCTTTTGTTGCCATTGCTTTTGGTGTTTTAGTCATGAAGTCTTTGCCCATGCCTATGTCCTGAATGGTATTGCCGAGGTTTTCTTCAAGGGTTTTTATGGTTTTAGGTCTTACATTTAAGTCTTTAATACATCTTGAGTTAATTTTTCTATAAGGTGTAAGGAAGGGATCCAGTTTCAGCTTTCTACATATGGCTAGCCAGTTTTCCCAGCACCATTTATTAAACAGGGAATCTTTCCCCCTTTTCTTGTTTTTGTCAGGTTTGTCAAAGATCAGAAGGTTGGGGATGTGTGATATTATTCCTGAGGCCTCCATTCTGTTCCGTTGATCTATATATCTGTTTGGGCACCAGTACCATGCTGTTTTGGTTACTGTAGCCTTGTAGTATAGTTTGAAGTCAGGCAGCGTGATGCCTCCAGCTTTGTTCTTTTTGCTTAGGATTGTCTTAACTTTGCAGGCTCTTTTTTAGTTCCATATGAAATTTAAAGTAGTTTTTTCTAATTCTGTGAAGAAAGTCAATGGTAGCTTGATGGGGATAGCATTGAATGTATAAATTACCTTGGGCAGTATGACCATTTTCATGATATTGAGTCTTCCTATCCATGAACATGGAATGTTTTTCCCTTTGTTTGTGTTCTCTCTTGTTTCCTTGAGCAGTGGTTTGTAGTTCTTCTTGAAGAGGTCCCTCCCATCCCTTGTAAGTTGTATTCCTAGGTATTTTATTCTGTTTGTAGCAATTGTGAATGGAAGTTTACTCATGATTTGGCTCTGTTTTTCTATTACTACTGTATAGGAATGCTTGTGATTTTTGGGCATTGATTTTGTATCCTGAGACTTTTCTGAAGTTGCTTATCAGCTTAAGAAGATTTTGTACTGAGATGATGGGATTTTCTAAATATACAATCATGTCATCTGCAAACAGAGACAATTTGACTTCCTCTCTTCCTATTTGAATACCCTATATTTCTTTCTCTTGCCTGATTGTCCTGGCCAGAACCTCCAATACTATGTTGAATAGGAGTGGTGAGGGAGGGCATCCTTGTCTT